AGAGAAAAATCCTCAAACGTGGCATTTTTCGAATACTGGACGTATAGAGCTGCTTTAGCAATGGTTTGGTAGAGAAAATCTTCTAGTTTTGTCTGCCATATTAACTTTTCGAATTTGACGAAAATGAAGCAAGTTGTTGCTTCGGAAAGTGTAAAAACTCGTGCTCATCTCGAATTTTCCTCGTTAATTGACCTAAATTTGTTATTTCTTATAACTTTTTGTAATTTCATACTGATTAGAAAAAGCTCTTCACAAAACTTCCAAATCTGCTTTCAGATTGAAAATTCGTCATATTTGAAGAAAGTTATAATCATTTGAATATTTGTTCAAATTTCAATAGTAAATAAGCTGCTCCACGGTCAACGCCAAAGTCCAGTCAACACACAGCTGGCGAAGGCGGTTACAAGGCTTCTTTCAGCGAAAGGGGGACGTGTAAATTGAGAACCACAATCTGTGTAGTACTAGAATTTGGTAAGTCTTGTGGAGGAAATAAATAAAGAAGAGATGTTGTCATAGTATGCCATTTTTAGTGGCTAGTTTGTCGTTTTCTGGTCTGTTTCTCGTTTGCTCGTTTGGTAGGACTCATCAATAATGATTATTCTTTGACTTTTTCACTTTTGTACTTCTTAAACGAATTTTTTTGTGGGCGGTGGGGTAGCAGGGCTTTTTTATGAGCAGTTTTGGGGGAGAATTAAACAAGCTTTTCAACCTTTTCATAGTTCGGCTTTTGAAGAGGGTTGTTTCATGGACTTCGGCCTCCGGCGGAGGGTGGTGGGGGGGGGGGTATTTCCAAATTTTCCTCAACGCCTCGCTTGACCCTGCCCCCACCCCCTAGACTGCCTTCACTCCCCCTGGCTCACGGGGTCCCGTACTTCGAGAAACCTGTGCGCCAGGGGGAGTGTAGGCAGTCTAGGGGGTGGGGGGTGAGGGCAGCCACTTGATGCCCCCCTTACTGGATGAGACCCAGAATCGTTAATTGAAGCTTCAATTGGGTTCTTATGGAATCGACCTCATACAGCGCGGCGGTCCCGCAACGACCGCTAGTCGAGCAAGCGCTCTGCACAGCGTATGTTGGGCGATCCGCCTCTTTATGGGTGATCCGCCCCCTCCAAGAGGACTTCGACCCCTTCCAGCGCATTTTAGAGGTAGGTTTTGAACTTAAAGACATTTCCTATAAACTTTAGTTGGGCTGGGGCATGTTTTGACCGCCTAATGACCAAGTAGTTGAAACCCTGCCTGGACTGTTGCTTTAAAGAATCCAGTCTGGACTAGTAAGATGTGAACGAATTCGCGCCACACTGTGCATTACGTTAGAAGGCTTGTGGTGCAAAAAATAAGGGGGGGGCGGGGAGGGGGCAAGTTGGACAATTTCTTGAGGCTTTCTTTTCCTCTTACATTCCGCACTAATTGCAACAACGAAACTGTCAGAACGATGTACACGGGTGAAGAACTGAGATTTCAAGCGGGTCCATACTTTTGACCACCCTTTATGGGAATTTGATTGATTTTTGGACAAAAGAAAAAAAATCCTCGATAACTCACATCATGGCAGAAGAATATGAAGTTTCTAGTTTCACTTTTGCCTCCTCTTCTTAGCGATGATGCCGTGGATGGCCTGCTTTGCGTAGAATAGAAGCTTGATTCCGTCTTCTTCTGCAAAAAAGAATTGTTCCTGGTGTCTACGTACTTTGAAATCAATCAATATTCAGATATAGCTTAACTATTGTTTTGATTCCATTTGAGTTCTGCCATTATTGTCATCCGGTGAAAGGTCTTAACATGTACAGTATGTACCCTCGTAAAAATTTTAATACTTTTTTGATGGGGGTAGCATGAGAGTTAGCCCAAGTCCCCTTTCGCAGTTCGCCATAGTGACATATGTTTGACCTTAGTCAACAAAAACAGACGTACTATTTGACCCTTTGGCTCGCATTCTGCGGCAAACATTACACGGGTTCCAGTGGACAGGGAGCTTTTGGGGTGCGACCACACCAACGACGCATTCCCCTCTTATCTTCGAAGCGAACACGAAGCATAGGCGGGATTGCGCGCGCGAGCAGAGGGATAAAGCTGCGATGCGACGAGGCGTCGGAGTTGATTGAAGGACAAGAGATCTACTCATCGCTTGGCCTCCTCACATAAAATTTTTACGGATCACAGGGATTTGAAATTGGACAGTGTTTAAAATGATTATATCTCCACGTCAAATGCGATGAGGGTTCCGTAGCAAGTTAGATGACACCAAATTATTTAGCCTCGTGCCATGTGTGGCTAGTATCAACCAGTAAACATACCTTTTCAATAGGTTCGAGCGCTGTGAAGGGGATTTGCCACATTTTGTTGAGCCGCTCCTCCTCCCTCTTCTTTACCCTGAAATCGTGTTAGGTAACGGCTTTATAATACTAATAAATTTGTGTTGTAATAATTTGTAAAATAATAATACTACGTGAAATTCAGCGAAGCTCAATCAACTAAGTGAAAGTTCCGGTATTTTCCCAACTTTCACAGGACTTGAAGCGACCCCTCCGATTTTTCAGTGCGATTAACTGCCTCTACAAATGTTCACAGGGATGATGTGGCGACTTCGCTACAGTTTCCTTGGGGTTGGGAGGGTAGAGGGTGTCAAGAAAGACTTTTCTATTGGCGCCATTAGCCAACTTTTTGATGCTTAGGGAGGTGACGTTGATGCAAGTCCTACATCAAGATGTTCCTGAAACCCCCACGTGCAAAAACAAGGCCATGTTCACTGCCTCAGCGGCTTCAGATCATGAAATCAGCCGCCACAGCTCAAAGAGGACGGTTGCCACATATTCCATGGTTATTCAGACGTATTTGCGAAAGCTTGCTACAAAGTTTCCAATAAGTTCGACTGTGCTCTCCTATATACAGTTCAAAGCACCAGCGTTCGGCGCAACCAAATGTGGCAATTCATTCATGAATGTGGACCTCCCATATGTGCCAACTAAAAGATAGGATATTCGGTTCCAGTCCTTTTCCATTGAAAAACTCCCTTTCATGACGATTTATTACATAGACTAGGAGCATAACTCAAATACCCTCGCAATTTGGGGCAACCCAACTTCGCTGTCCTTCCTAAAACCGACATGTGCGACATGCATAGTGATCCAAGTGTTGAGGAAATTCGACTGGAATAACGGTATCTTTCTCAGGCGGAGTTAACACGACAGTCCAGCTGCCCTTCCTCAACTGACCTTTTCCTCATGTGCTACTCCTATATTTTATTCCATCCTGACCTCCACTAAAAATAGTGCTGGTAAAGTAGGTAGAAGAGACTACTCTCCGAAAGAGGAAAAAATGTTGAATCCCTCTACATTTCTCGAATCCTCCTTATCACAGTCCCGCATGTGAAGCTAATGAGGACCAGAGTCAACGAGCGATTCGATCAATCCAGGCAAAGCTGTCGTACTAGTGGTTTGGAGAGGAATCGTACTGTAGGTTAGGAATTGCCACGGTCGACCGTCGTCCAATCCGAACAAGGACGGTGGATTTCTTGCGAATCAAGGAGTATTCTCAAGCACTTCCGAGGAAACTGCAGTGGAATGAGTGAGACCATTTCGAAAATTTTACTATATAGCCCGGGTAATTTCAAAGAATGCTTTAGGACAAAATTGGAGTGTTCTGATCTGGGAAACAGTGATGGTGACGTGTATGGTGGAGGTAGGGTCAGCCGTAGTTGTTCCAATTCCAAACATTTGACGATCCCCTCTGTTACGGGGTTCCGATACGACTCTTCACCACTGCGTCGGCGGGAAGTGCCCAATGCGATTTCCCTACCCCTACTCGACTACCACCCTCACTATCATGGGTACATATTTCTCTAAGAAGGACCATCTGTCCCGCCACCGCAATAAATACAATTCCCATAGATACAAACCTCCTTATTTTATCATCTTTTAGACCTTCAGAAATGCCTATACGATCCCTCCTCCGGAAAAACTCTTACAGGACCCCCTCCTTGAAAACTGCGGCCACCTGCAACCCACGGCTTGACCCTGCGAAGGGTGAGGAGGAGAAGGGCGCTTCGAGCGAAAAGCCGCGCCTTGTGAATTTTTTTTGGAGGGAAGAACAGATAGCTCATATGGATTATAGACGTAGCTGAACAAGAATAGCAAAGACGTAACTGTGAAAAGACGTACCGTATGAAATATACAATCCCAATGATGATGCCAACAATTGTGGCGGAAAATATAACTCCAGCTCCTCCGATCCATCCCTTGTATTCTTTGACGAAATCAACAGGACACTGAAATGCAGAAATTCCGCTTACCATTGTTGTATCATAGTGTGATTCATTACCTGTAACCCTTTGAAACCACATTCTGGTACGGCTGGAGGGCGTCCTCCTCTTCCCCACCACACCACAGACTCGTTCTTGTACAGTGGTGTGTAAGTCTTAAATTTACCGGTCAATGACCTGAGCTTTCAAAAGGTTGTGATATGATGCATTACAATTGATTTTTTGCTTTTTTAACGCTGTTTTTCAGTACAGTCTGCAATGCGAATGTTAGTACAGCGTTGCAGAATTATTGTCACAGATGCGGTGGCCTCTGACAAGGGAGGTCTTTCAGGGCAAGCCGCGCTTTCTTGGAAATGGTTTCTTGCATATTGTAGGGACGCATGTATGGACCACAAAACCATGTTTCGTTTTCGCTGAACGGTTTTAGTAGTATCAAAAAAGTGGTGAATGATACCCTTGATGGTTCAATCCCCGCGGCGACTAAATTTTGCAATCAAGGTTGGCGGCCACTTGTTGGCTTCAAAATGGTCCTGACGATGAATTTGACATCTGATTTTGATATTTAGCGCGATTTGGCACCAACCCGTAGGCGCCAACCCAAATGCAAAATTTAGTCGCCACGGGGGATCGAACCATTAACAGTACCTTATGCTTCTTTTTTGGTACTGCTATAACCGTTCAGCGAAAATGAAACATGGTTTTGTGTTCCCTACATGCGTCCCTACAATATGCACAAAACCGTTTTGAAAAAAGCGTGGCTTGCCCTGAAAGACCCCTTCTTGAAAGACCCCCCTTGTGTGGCCTGTTAGTCGGCTACGGTCACGACCGCATGTCGGTGCTCGTAGTGACTGGTTACCTGTGGTAGGTCGGTGTCTACCGCGTGACGCGATGAGCACCATCCCATGGCGAAGGGGGACTCTTTCCATGAGACCACTTGGGTGGGGGCCTGTCCATCCGATAGCGCGTCGTGGCCTTCCCCTGGTACCGTCTGAGCGCCATCTTAAAGCAACAGTTCAGGAACGGTTTCGCGGGAAAAAACCACCAATAATGAAGTTGTAGATGAAAACCAGACGATTAATGTATGAAAAACTGGAAAAAAACGTCGGGGAGGGTCTTAGACAGGTACTCTCCCTCTGCCGCTCAGCAATGGATAAAGACGCACGTTGGACGAGTTGTCTGAACGTGCCCGCTGTAAACGCGCTCCATTTTTCAATCAATTTTCCCTGTGGTCCCAAAACGAGCACGATTGCCGACGCGTCCAATGACGGCCGGCAAGGGGGCGGGATTGGGGAAATCCCCAAGAACACCCATGTTTGAGGGACTTTCCACCCTGTTTTTGAGTTTCTGAGGTAAGTTCGTTTATTATTTCCACTGCATATGTTCTTCACTAGGGCTCGTGTATCCCTCAGTAGTAGTGGCATTGAAATTTTCGGACCCTCCCTGAACTGTTGCTTTAACAACCAGCCGACTAGGACACGTTGGCACATAGAGCACCCGGAAGAAGCCGACCACACGTGGGAGTCTAATACGTTGTGCCAGCTGGTGGGATTCACCTCCGACGGAGGTGAACCAGGGAGCTTGAAGGAAGCGGTGAGATACTATTTCAATGAATATGTAAATAACTTGTGCATTTATTGTGTGTTTGTTTTCATGTTGTTTTACCTTAGTTTCATGTCTGGCTGTAGGCTTACCCCTGTAAATTTCTCAACAAATACAGTGGCATATGTCTCCACTTGATCGTGGGCATTCAGAGCATCAAAATAGAACGTCGGATAGCGAGTGCCGTTCGGACCAAGCACAATTCTACCGGAGACACCTGAATCAACAATTTCCAGAACAGTGCTGCTCTAGTTCTAAAAGCAATCGGAGTTACCTTCAAACTCCATCGCATAATGATTTGCTACACTTCTTCCATCGCCAAGCTGGGAGTGGGACGTCAATGTACGATTGGCGGCAACCGCATACGCATAGAATGCATCGTGAAGTTGCCCCGCATACGCCGAAACCTTCGATAGGAAATGATTCTTCACAAGAGCTTTTTTGTCCACTTTAAATGTTTGCGATGGAACGGGGAGAAATAGAGCTCCTATCGAATAAGCAAAAATTAGTAAACAAATTGGACAACACCCTAAAAATGCTTCTCAGATAGACGTGCGGTTGGCAGTGTGAGAGATCAAAAGGAGGAATCACTGCGATAGGAAAATCGTCATGGAGAACAGTGCACGGCGAAAATATTGGTAGGGGACGGAGGCAGAGCAAAAAAAAAATCACGAGCTCTCCCGTCCCTTCCAGAAGTCGCGAAACGGTCACACTCAGCCTGACAGTTGGTACGCCGGTCACCCCCCCCCCCCCCTCTAACCCTATTACCATCCCCACCATCATGGGTGGTTCCACAGTATTTGATTCCGAGACTAGTTGACACGCCCCAACTCCGCCCACTTTCTCTCCAGACTGCGGACGAGCGGGGAACAGCGCAGCCAGTCAGATTCACTGCATTCCAAAAAGTCCGAAGAAAAAAGCTTCCTCTACCGTAAAAATCTTCCTCTCGCAACTTTTACAGGTGGATCAACCATAGATCAACAGCAGAAGGTGGTCAACCATGGTCAACAGCAGCTTTTTTCCCGTAAAGCACGAAAAATCCAATCCCTCCCCCATTTTAGATTGGCTAATAAAAGGTTAGCTGTGGACGGAACTTCTCGGCGTAGAAGCGATCAGAAGAATCGAAACCTACAGACGTCATGGACCAGGGAGCTTAGGTCACCCGACAGAGAGGCCCGGTCGCGCGTCCAGAAGGCACATCAGCGGACGAGTCGTGTGCTGTGTCATGTAGGACGAACATTCTGTTGGACCTGACGCGCAATCAGTACAGTACGCGCTGCAACCCGTCCGCTGACTCTTCCCTCTTGTCGCGCGACGGGCCCTGTGACGGGCAGCTGAGTGAGCTCGCTATGAAACTACAGAATACCAGGAAAATAGCACTGGATCTGACTGTACCGTGGTATTCTTTGCCACTACATTGAGTAGTGCAACTGAATGGTGGATCCTTCATTCGCCTTATGACCTCTTCACCGAATTGATTGTATTTCTCTTTGTTTCCAGCTGCACCTCTGTGCTAAAATTCAGGGAAAGTAGCGTAATAGAATTTGGTTTGCATAGTTTGCAGTGGGAAAATACTAATATTGTCCAAGGGAAATCTACTATGGTGGTACCCGCCAAGATTAAACTATGCCCTATTGATGACTTTGGGCGGTATCGTAAAACATACGGTGGACATTCTCATAGGCAGACGTCAGACAGGAATGGAGCTCGGCGTACCATCGGATGGCTTCAAGTTCGCTGATACGCGACGGCGACGCGGACGCCCCGAATCGCCTCGATTCGCAAAGTCTGACATCGGTCATACTAAGCCCGAGAGGGAATGAAAATGGCTGGAGTCTTTGGGAGGTTTAGTTTCGTTTTTGACAAAAAGGGCATGTTTTACGCGATCAAGTGCATTGCCACCACAATGCCCCCGTATTTTGCGAGAGCGCCTTACTTTGTTTTCGGACTGTGTTTTCGGTGCGATACACAAATGTTTTTACAGAGTGTGTTTCAATAGGAAAAAGAAATTCGATCAAGATCTTACACTAGTAATCGAGAACACATATGTGAATGCATCTTTGGCTTCTTCGTCTCTTCCATCTGTCGTATTCTTGAGGTCTTGCCAAACGTAATGTTCCTGTCCATCGGAATTTCTGACGTCTACAAACTCCAATTTTTATCCAGAGACCTTATTCGTGGAAACAATTATCGTATCTTGGAACAAAAGTCCGTCAGCGTTGGTCAACCCCTTTGGGATGCACCTCGTTTGCTAATATGCTCTGTTTTGTTCGACCTGCCTCTCTTCGATCCAGGATCAACCAGTGCGTCGCATTTTTCCAAAATTTCACTACCCTTAAGGCTGGTCTCAATACGACCCCCCTCCCACCACCATCAACCAGCCCTAACAAGGGGGGTCTTTTAGTACGTGGTGCGTTTTTAAAATGGTTTCCGCATGTTGTAGAGGCTCATGTGAGGAGCAGAGAACCATGGTCCATTTTTACTGAGCGCCTCCAGGAATGTCAAAACAGCGGGGAGGAGAGGGTCCAAAGTTCGATTCTACGGGTTGACAAATTTTTGTGATTGGTGTTGGCGATTTCAAATTGTCACAAAACACGACGAATAACGTCCGTCTTCGGTCGATGGCGCTATTTGGCGCAAACTGGGGGCACAAACAACTATTTGCAAAAATTAGTCATCACCGGGGATCGAACTCTGGACCATTTCTTCACCACTGTTTTGACATTCCTGGAGGCGTTCAGGAAAATGGATCATGGTTCTGTGTTCCTCGCATGAGCCCCTACAACATGCAGAAAACCATTTCAAAAAACGCTCCATAACCTGGAAGACCTCCCCACCTCACCTACCTCCCTCACCCTTATTGGCTGCTTCTATATTGATTCTGAGCCCCCAACTCCGATACTTCTGTCCCTCCAGAAATGGCTCTCAGCGATAGGTAAGTACATATGTCTGATGGAGTAGCAAATTCTCTGATAATCCCTACTTGACATAAATTTTTTTAAGTTTTTGCCACAATTCCAAAAACCCGCTAAAAATGGCCCCCTTCATCGCAACCACGCCTTTTCACTTCCACAAATAACGACTCCTCGTTCCAGATATGGATGAACATGCACGACCCGAACATGTACCCCCCCCGTTGTATAGCGCGAACGGACCGAGACCCTGCCTACTGCATCTATTAATGAAAAAGAGAAGGAAACGCACAAAATCCGTCCGAATCCGAATCAGCAAAAATATATATAAAATCGTCTCTCAAATAGCCAGCATCCTTCAAGTAGAGTATGAATTCTCGCTTGATCTCGTCATCTACGCAAACGACAACAACTGAAATTGGGTAGAAAGGGTGTATTTCGTGAAACTGTGGTGCTTCCTCAAATGATATTTCAAATATCAACAAGAATGTCAGTTTTAATTTTGGCAATCATGTATAAATAAGGGCACCTTCACAAAGAACCACAAGGTCCGGTCGAATCGAAACTTACTCCGAAACTTATCGTTAGAGAGAAGGTCGACGAATTCGTATCGAAGTAAGGTCTTTAATTGAGAAAGTAGCAGCGGTTTGCAAACGGAAGCACATACACAACTTTTGGGATGATTTGACAAGGCTGAGGTGCCAAAGATCTAGGTGGGGTTCCACCGCGGAGTGCTAGGTCCCACTCGCGGTGGAATCTTCCACCTCACGGGTGAAATTGGAAAAGCACTTTTCTATCTTGCGTAATATTGCTTCGCCTTCCACAAGCTCGGCAAACTTTGGTCACGTAGTCATGCACTTCAAGGATTCCAATTCCTCAAACAAGTAATGGAAATCACGCCTACCCGGAGGTCCCTGAATTCCTGTTTGTTCCACAGAAACAGGTGGGTAGTGTGAAAATAGCGCACATGCCCGTAGGGTAATTATCTATTCGAAAAGAAATGACCCGTCTCGATCGGAACACAGCGATCTCAATATTTCTCCTCTCCGCCCTGTGATCATTAACAGTACCCACATCATCGTAGTAACAGATGGCTCCGTTGAAACTGTTCAACCCTTCCCCCTTTCCACCTTTCTCAGCCTTTAAAACTACAATCGAGCAATGACGAGTGTCACTATATACATATTTCCTCTTGCCGATACTTCATTCTCCTACCTGTTATCAGTCCGCCCCGAGACGTATTTCAAACCCCATTACGACCCTCACCCGAAGTTAAACACATTTCTTGGGTCCTAGAATTTCACAACACGGCTTCACCCATTTCAGGATTTCTCCTAACCAAAGTAAATTTTTGTGCTGATGAATCAAAAAGAGACTGAAGTAGTTCCTTTTCCATGACGCAATCAGATAAACCTGTTTTGATAGATTGATGTAGACTTACTTCGTGCTCGTTCAGCAGTGTAATGCATCACTTTCTTCACATAATCGAGCGTCATCTCCATCACATCAGTAACGAAATTTATTGTCAAATCATCAAAACGATTGACGACATTCTAAAAATCTTGTCATTTGTCAATAAATCAGAGATTTTCAGGATTTTTGCACGAAATGGAGCTCCTGTACGATAAATATGGATTAGAACACAAGTGCAGAGCATGTACCCACTTGGCGTCACGACTTAATAAGGCCAGGACTTTACTACTTGGTCCGCCCACCACCACATACCCCGCCCACAAATCAATGCTATTGAATTTCGCTGTTGAGAGTGGGCTTTGTGGTTGCCTTTGTTGACGGCTTATTCACGTTTTACTAGTTTTCACTTCACATCTCCACTGTCACTTACGAGCGCATTAAGGCTTTGATTTGATCCCGGACCTGTCCTTCGAGGTGAGGGGTCGCCCAAAAAACGCATGAAATGGATAATCCTACTATTCGCCACGAGTGATCTGAATCTATACTTTAAGTTCAAAGTAATTTCTGTTGAAGAATCTCTTAACAGTTCTGTCACATTCGAATGAAGCACATGGCTGTTCGCAGACATTTACCACCCCCCTCCCCGCCGTTCGTCCTTCGTAATAATTTAGACTTTCAGTTCCCAAAATTTAAGGAATCTAGCACCTTTCATATTTGCGGCATGCGATCAAGCCTTGTGCCATCGAAAGGGCACCCATCAAAAAAAAGAAGAGCCCTCGAAACTCTTTCTATGCGACACGACATCAGCGTAAGCAAGCGTAATCGCAAACTTCACAGTCGGCAAATAGCGGTACTAATCACTTTCAGCTAACTCATGTCAGAAGTGAACCCAGTCAGCCTAGTTCACGCCTATCATCCCCATTCGCTTTACTCGGATTTTTCCGAAGAAGAAAACCGACCAAGGCTACCTAGTAGGAGGGTAAGATGAAGAATTTCCTAGATGGGGAGCGTGAGGAAGACGTTGGCCAGTATCGCGTGGTCATCTCGGTACCTGGGATCTTAAGTGAGTGATTCTTCTCCCATTTGGGAACATAGCAGTGGAAACCAACCAGCTATTAAAAGCTGTCTCCAAAGACATCTCGACCACAAGGACCCGATCCACAGCACAAAATATAGGCGAAGTTTATTTAGTTCGCGGTGAAGTAACGCCTTGCTACAGGTTCTTCCTCCAAATGGCGCGTATTTCCGTGCTCTTTCTCTCTCCACTACCTTTTTTATCTTAGTTTACGTTTTTACTATTTTAGTGAACTAACCTGCAAGTCATTTTTCATAGCTTTACATGAAGAATCGTAGTCACCAACATTCGAATAAAGCAACGCGAATTGATCCCATTCAAACGCCAGTAGAATAGATCGCACAGCTATCCCAAGACTGTAAAACAAATAATAACGTTATGTGTAGGAGTTATCAACTATGTAGGCTGGTGGGTGTAACATGCCTGGGAAGGCAGTGATCATTTTTTGGAAATGCTCCAGTACGGTAAAGTTCTCACAACGCGTTTAGAGTTGGCGATCATAAAAGCGATTAGGCGATGACTCAAAAAGAAAACATACGTATCGACTAGGCGATAGGCGAACAAGCGATTTGCGAATCAGACGCAGTTGATGAGTTATCTTGTCGATCCACAACTGAGCGATGGCATAATCGCCAGATCGTCTAATCGTCAAATCGCCTGAATCGCCTTAGCGCACGCACGATCGCCAGCTCTGAAGCTACCTATCCGTGGATAGATTTCCGCCCTAACCTTTGCCTGACATTTCTTCTGCTGTGATTGAAGAACTGACCAGGATCTAACGAATTTATGCATGCTCACCTGAAAGAGTTCACGGACAGTACACCGGTGGTTGGAAAGCGATTGACGTTATCAATCACTGAAGATGTGCTGAGACCCCATGTGAGGAATTGGAACGTTGTAATAAGCAGATATGATGGCCGACGTTATTAGTTGCTGGAAAAAAATACTGCTGTATTCTGGAAACGCAGGCAAACGCTACGCATATATCGGAGTTTCTGCGTTTCTTTTTTTTACTTTTCTAACCTCACTACTCGTAATCTGCTCTTTCTTCGAGTCAGTGCCAGACTCTGTTTCCTACTAATCTGCTCACCATTATTGCCTTACCACCAGCTAAAAGCAAAAGTGCGCACCAGTTATTGCCAAACGCGTGGCTTGCCGCCTCGTTGAGGGGGCCGCTTTCGCGGGTCGAGGCGTTAGTTGTGGATTATAGAAGCTGCGAGTGCACTTTTTGCGCGCATTGAAACTACAAGGGCAGCACGTATTTAATTCCATCCGAAGTTCTCCCTCAGTCATTGAAAGGATTCATCCTCGTTACATCATCGCGGGTAAGCCTTTGAGTGGAGATTGGCGCTAGCGCGCAAACTAAGAGGTCGAGCACATCGCACAATGTGGACCAATGTACCACTAGACTACCGGAATCACTCGCTTAGACCACATTCATAAGGAATCATCAGAAAGCGATTCGGTGTGGCTCCCATCGCTGATGAAGATGCGCGAAGCTCGCCTGAAGGTGGTACGGTCACATCCTTTGCGCGAATGACGACGGTGTCCGTAATATCGGCCTCAACGTGCAAGGGAAGCGGCGAAGGACATGCCCGAAGCAACGATGGTACAATATGTTCGTGAGGATTTGGAATCACTTCTCCTACTTATCAGGGGCGGAAGTGGTGTAGTGACAAGTGGCGCGCTTACCACGCGAGCGGTCCGGGGATCAAATCCTGGGTCGTGAGTCGCCCGGGCCAACCAAGCCTTCCATCCCTCCGGGGTCGGTTAATTGGTACCAGACTTGTCTGGGAGGATAAAAACACTGACTTGAACATCGGCTGGCCCCCGCAAGTCATTGTATAGGCCACATCGCATTCAAACGCCACTACGAATGTACAAATGGAAGTAGAATGCGTGCCGCATCCCAAAAAGGGATTGATCAACGGCAAATGCTTTATCCTTTTTATCCTCCTTATCAGGCACACAATTGGGGAGCGGCCCGCGCCACTAGGTGGGACAAACGCTGACGAATAAGAAGGAGAAGTTGGCCGCCTCGGGTTGAACAAGCTGGTTGAGAGGTAGCAGTCGGACTCGAAGTTCTACTCCAAAACTCTGCTGTGTACATATCCTGTGGACGAAAGTATCTGATTGCTGCATGTTCGTGTAAAACTAACGGTCGCTGCAAGTGGGTCCGATGATGACATTCACATGGTGTTCGTTGATAAGCTGGAAGGTTCCTCCGGCGGCTAGCTGCTCGTTACATTCGTCAAACAGTATGGAGAATCTGAAAGGAATTTGAATGAAGGTAGGTACATACGCAGTCTACCTTTTTATGGAGCTTTCTTCACAGCTCAGAAAATATTCTATTTTCATAGCCTACTCGAAGTTGTCGGGGCCAAATCGAATCCTGAAATTCATGCCAAGTATGCATTGGCGACTTACTCGGACTTCTAGCCAGTCGGAGCTGTTCTTTCTTGATGCGATCTTCAGCAATTAGTACAGCAGATGCAGAGGTTCTGAAAATAGGTAGCCCATTGGGGATATTTCATTAGGACATTATATAAAACCCGGCCAAAAATGAATTACAATTATGATGTTTTCAGTTTGTGTGTTCATCTTGATTTTTGCATGCCGAGTTGTCAAAAAAGAAGTTTCATGGTCCACAATGGAAACCGCCACAGAACAGAATCACGGACGCTGGGAAAGGGTTGAGATTGTCTAATGTGGTGCTTGTTCAGGAAAAGAAGCGTTATCAAAGGCGTGTGGGCTATAATGTGCCTCAAAGTTCTTTCCCTCCAGTTCTTAAGCATGCCCAACGCTGGTAGGTATGTGGATTATATCGGTATTAAACAGTAAATATTACAAACAAAAATCAAAAAATTACTTCGGCAAAATCAAAGGTGCACGATTTCACTCTGCATGCAGAAGGAAAAAAGTTAAATCAACCCCGAGAAACGAAATAATCCCTCTTATAATTTTTAATTATTCTTGGCAGATATTCTAAATTATCTTTAGAAATTGCGAATTTAAAGAATAATTCTTATTATTTAAAACCTCTCACGTTATGTACTCTGACACGTATATACCCCGCGTAAGATTCCGAATGTTCTGACCTGTAGCCGATAGCGGGCTCAAGTTCTGTGACATTATCGACAAATAGCAAACCAACTCTGATCACTTCAGCTCCAGTGGCATAGTTCAACGACCATATCTAGAAAATGAAGGTTCCGAAAAATCCGATTGATATTGTCTTTTATAAATCTGAGCCCATGAAAAATGCGCGCTATTGCGCGTCGCGCTGCTCCCCAACGCGTTATTGAGCTTTAACACTCTTAAAACTATTTCCTAGAAAATTTGATTCTTTTCAAAGAGCATTTCCCAAGTCTACCACCTTATGTGTAAAGACTCGTTCTAGGAGAGTTTAATTTTGAGGATTTTTGTGCAGATACGTGTGAAAACCGTTTTTTTTTAACTGAGGTGAACATTGTGTTCAAAAACTGGATTGAAATGATTATTCTATTCATGAAACTATTGGAAACAATGGAATTTTCGTAAAGTAATCCTTAGTTAGGACCGATCACTTACCAGAAAACAAAATGGCAGGGCAGGATGCTTCATAGTGGGCAGTGCGTGACTGACATTAACTAAGGGAAAGCTATATGGTGAAGCCTTTGATTTTCTTCATGAATACTAGAAAGGACATTCTGCTGATATTGTAGGTTTCGGTGTCAAGAAGCCTTACCGAGACAGTTAGGCGATTGGCGGATTAGTGCTTATGAAGAATCACGTCCGACACATTTCCTCAAGACGTATTAAAGATTGTATGTAAGGGGGACTATTTGTATGGGGACTAGTTTTGTTTTGTTGCTTTTTTTCATTTTTCAACCTTCCTTTCAGAAATAACTTGGCAGGAAATGGTAACCTATAGCCGGTGCTCCTGTAAAATCGGACATTTGCAATAAATGTTCTCGAAAAATATTCTTATAATCTTCTGCTCACATAATCATTCTCCCAGTTTCTCAATCAATAAGTATCTTTTTCCCTTCAGCCTGGGTCATACTCAGCGTTTTGGGGAATAGGATGAAAAGGAAAAGGCGCATATGGATAAAAGAAAGATCACTAGACAGGAGCGATTCAAAGAATTCATGGAAGGGACCAAGGGGACCACCATGATTGAAAAAAGCCATCCTATACATACGCTCCTAGCCCTAGGGTGAAATAGCAGGCTAAAGCAGATTTTAAAATAATTTTACATGACATTTTTTATTTTTATTGTTATTTATTTATTGATGTATACACTTGTCTGAGTGCGCCAATATAGAGAACTTAGGGGCTGAAACAATACTATAGAAGAACTCAAACAAAATCAAGAAGATTGAGAAAATTAATCCCACATGTTGTCATTCTCCTTGGAATATCCCGCCACATGTACTGTGCCCCGTGGTAAAGGAAACGAGACGATGGGCACTATTCACCCTTAACTGCCCCACGCCTCTAGAACTGAGCCGGGTTTTTTGTGGAATTCGGCTAGAAACTTGCCTTCAGGGGGTAATTCGACCCGTAGAACACGAATATCACATTTGTTTACCGCTAGAACGCCTGGCGCTCGCGTCAGAAGCGCCGGCGCCAAAAGGCGCCAGAACATCTCGGATCCCCAAATTCGCTGGAAAGTTGTCCTCAGAGGTATTTGACCCGTAGAACATGAATATCACATCCTTGCGAGTGAGCCTGTAGCCTGCGCTACGGGCGCCCGCGCAAAACTGTGGTGATAGCGCCGAATCCTTAGTCATGCACGAATTTCGATCAAAATCTGGCTCAGTTCTTGAGGGGGCAGTAAAGAGTAAATAGTGCCGATATAAATAGTGGCAACGCTATTCGAGCTCTGCTAACCGTGGAACCCTCTTCTACTCCCTCTAGGAGAGCGTCGTACTGTTCTGTTTAGCGCTGACCCCTGCCCTTACTTTCCCCAGTACTTCCTTTGCTCAGTCACTATCGTTGAAAAACTGCGAATGTAGAGTATTTCTATTCGCTCTTTGGGAAGTTTGAATTTTCCATTTGTTAACTTAAAAGTATTCTTTTGATGAAAATACCTCAAATGTGGAAAATCTGGTCTGGTCCGCAATTGAAAATGGTCCTTCATGTGTCTGACGTATAAAGCGAAGAAATTTTGAGCCATGCTCGATCTTTCCGAGATGCGCCGCACGTTTCGGCCCTATTCGAAATTGCAGAGTTGTTTGAATGCGTGCTAAGTCATGTCGTGTGAGGTAACCAGCAATGTTATGTGTCCATCAGACGTCAAGTCCCTTCGTCGTTTCCAACCTCTTTCGCGAGCCAATCAAAGAATGAAGGCTTTTCTGAAGCAAGGTAAGACGTAGTTGCTACGATCGTGCAAGACCATCTTGCGTTAAAACTCCAGCCCAATGCGGTGACTCAGGAAAAGTGAAGCTAAATGGCTGCCGTTGCCACTCCATCGGATCCCCCACGCGTCCGTCTCCGCTCCGGAATCGAGCACAGTTCGGATGAAAGCTGGCAACGACAAGTCAACAACAATTTCAGCTGATGTGTCTGCCAGCGAAATTTTGTACCCTTTCGAGTCAGCCTAGTCACCAGGAAGATGCCTGGAGGGTCTCTTTGATTCCTCACACCCTGCGGCTAGTGATAACGCCCCACCGACCACTTCGCCCTATCGCCCGATAAGATAGCCCAGACAAGATAAGATAAGAAAAGATAAGATAAGATATTCCTTAC